CCTCATAGATGAACGGCCAGTAGCAAGGCAGGAGCAAGGATAGGTGGGGCTGACAGACAGAGAGGATAATAAATAGAAGGAGACCTGAGAATGAAGAAAAAGAGCAACAAGAGAACAAGAAGAGGAGGACATGAGGGGTCAACCGCCCAGCTACACAGCAAGCTACGAAGAGAGAAGTAAAGAAAGGTATACAGAAATAGAGAGAGATAAAAGCTCAGAGGCAAAAGGTAGTCTGGTTAATTTAGGTTAAGAAAAGCCTACAAAAAAGAAACCATGCTAAGGCTGGACATTCATAACTAAGAGTAAGCCTCTGTGTGTGATTTATTTGGGATCTGGGTGGTGGGCCAGTCAAAAGTCAAAAGAGTAAAACACCACACAACACTGTCTCTACTCTCACACACCCAGATCCATGTGAGAGTCAGAGCCTTCAGTACCAGGGACTATGACTATATTTGGAGATAAAGTTAAACTAGGTCACAGGGTGGTCCCTTGTAGTGTTCTGTAAGGAGAGATTAGGGTACAGATACAGGGGATCAACATGAAGATATGAAATGACCGATCTATCAGCCAAGGGCAGAAGACAGAAGGAGCCAGCCCTGCTGACGCTTTGCTGGCACCCAGAGCTGTGAGTACAAGGCCGTAGTTATGCAGCCCACACAGACTGTGCAGAGGCATCAGGGACAGCCACCATCCTCGTCATGGTCCAGGGTTCCCAGATACACCCACCTGTCAGACTGCTCACTTGATTTTTGATTTAACTATCTACTTTGAAGCAGGGTCTCACTGTTCCCCAAGCTGATCTCAAGCTCCTAGACTCAAGTGATCCTCCTGCCTCAGGCTCTTGAGCAGCTAGAACCACGGCGAGTCATGACCAAACCCAGCCTTAAGCTATTCACTTTATTTGTTCATTTATTTATTTTGGTTTTTTTGAGATAGGGTTTCTCTGTGGCTTTGGAGCCTGTCCTGGAACTAGCTCTTGTAGACCAGGTTGGCCTCGAACTACAGAGATCCACCTGCCTCTGACTCCCGAGGCCGTGATTAAAGGCGTGCGCCACCACCGCCCGGCAAGTTACCCACTTTAAATCTGTACTGGCTTATTGTCTGTCACTTATATCTCATTAAAGTGAGATTCCACCTCAGAAACAAAAGCAAAAATATGGGGCTGGAGAGATGTCAAGAGGGCAGACTGCTCCTGCAGTTGATCTGAGTTCAGTTCCTGACACTCATGTCAGAAAGCTCAACACTACTGCTAACTCCAGCTCCAGGGGATCTGGTGCCCTCTTCTAGACTCTGCAAGAACCTGCATTCATAATCACATATCCCTATACAGAGACATACACATTTAATTTAAAAATAACTTAAAATAATAAATTTAAAAATAATAAAAATAAATTTAAGACAAAAATGAGGACAGAACCATCCCATTCTCAGGAGAGACCAGAAACAGGATCTCTGTGGATTCTGATTTAGAGGAGACATTGTTCCACAGCATTTACTTCCGGATATACGGCCTATCTTCACAGTGCCCCAACACTGCAGACAGGACACAAATTACAAAATACATACCTTCCTTGGCACAAGCCAGGCCACCAGATCCCCCACCAATCACTAAGAGATCGAAGCTCTGCTGCCCTGCCGAGGAGAAACAGAAGGTAAGAAGGTGCCGAGCCAGCCGACCTTATTCTCTGAAGGGCCAGAAGCTCTGTAGAGTTCGATGTGGTACAAAGCTTATCAGGACGGGGAACCCTGTCCTGGGGCAGTTGGGGTGACCACACTGTCTGCAGAAATCAGAAACCAGCGTGTGGAGAGGCTGGCTGTCAGCGTGTGGAGAGGCTGGCTGTCAGGGGATGCAACCATCTTTGCAGAGAATCTCCCTGACTCCCAAAAGGCGTCTCAGAACCTAAGGCTTCACCCAGTGTCCTGAGCCAGACAGAACAAAAACATTCTCATTCGGTCTACAGGCCTTTCAGTGGTAAATGTGACTCTGCATTACAGCAACCAAGAATATCTATGTAGCCCCTCTCATACAGAAGTCAAGGGCCCATGCAGTCAAGAGTCTCAGTGTCGCCCTCTGACCTCCATATATGTGCCAGGAGCATGTGTGCACCCACACCCATGAACACACTAAATAAACACATAAATCAAATGCAAAAATAATAGTTTTAAGAGGCCACACCTGTCTTTGTATCTTTGTAAGTAAACAAGGCTGCAGAGAACCCTGGGGTTCCCATACTCTTCAAGGTCACTTTCCTGTACCCCACTATAGGAACACACAGCTGAAGGTATAAGGTGACCCACGGTTTGCAGCCCCACAACTGAATCTACCCCAGGCTCACGTTCTGAAAAAGCCTGGACGGTTACAAGTTATTTGATGGCTTTGATGCGATCCTAGAGAAAAAAAGGAGGTTATGTGGTAGGAGGCAAGTTGCCACTCAGTCCTAGAGAGGACCAGCATGACAGGTAGGGCCAATTTGTCTCCTCTCTTGCTTTTGGGTGACAGAGGTGGGGGGGGGGGAATCCTATATCTTGACCCTGGAAAAGGCACCTACCTTCCATTGCTGACACCTGTCCTTCCTGTTGCCAGAGCAGGGCTTCTATTGGGTCACCCTTCCGTGAGGCCCTACACTGTGCCCTCTGCCTGTTTGCTATCAAGCGACTAGTAACGCTGGCTTATCATGGACCATTTGCTTTCCCACTGTGCACACCCAGGAGCCTCCCCTCTGATAAACACTTGGAAGAAGCCCACAGTGGAAGCTTATGAGGGTCAATACTGGGAAGGGTATGCAAAGCCTGCTGGGGGCAGGGGATGCTGTTCTACAGAGGACAGCCGAGGCAGCAGATGTCACAGGACACCGCACCTAGGTGATGGCTTCCTGGAGACAACCCTCATATGCCGGCCTTCACTCACTGTGGTTAGGCCACTCCCTCTGCTCAAGCCTCATCCCCAGAGCATGTCTTTGCTTCCTCTATGCCTCCTAACCCACAGAGTTCTGGAACAGTGAGCAGAAAGCAGGGATCTAATGGACATGACAAGGTCCAAATGAAGAGCTCATTGCTCTGATAAAGCAACAAGGTTCCCTTAGATGGGCTGGCCACCCAGAGGAGTCACTTCCAGTGGGGAGTCCTGTACAGCTGTTCAGAGGATGCCAACAGTCTTGTCTGAGTGACGTACCACACCCTCACCCCTAGCTGGAAAATATGGGTGTATTCCTGCTTCTAAAGAACAGACTCAAGGCTGGAGGGGACTCAAAAGTGGTGTGTGGAGTCATGTGGCGAATGGCCTCTTCCCTAGACCCTCTAGGATCCTCACCCCAGCAAAGCTCTGAAGTCTAGGATCGTCAGGGCAGTGGTACCTCCTGCCCACCCGAAGACAAATTCCAGACCATAGGGGACTCCCAGGCTTGTGAGCACAATGAAGCTCATTTACAGATTTTAAAACATTTTTCTTTAGATTTTAGTTATTTTTATTTTATGTGTATGAGTGTGTGTTTGCATGTATGTCTGTGTGTCAGAGGCCAGACAAAGGCACTGGATCCCTTGGGAATGGACACATGGGTGCTAGGAATTGAACTTGGGTCCTCTGGAAGAACAGTTGGTGCTGAGTCATCTCTTTTATTGTCACTATGCAAAGTGATGGTGCCCATGGCACAGACACACTGATTTTTTTTTTTTACCCCATAAAATCATTGTAAATGTCCCCACCTAATATACGCAGCATAGAGCCAGAGCCCTGGGAATTAGAAAAGCTACTGAAAAAGTAACCTTAAGTCCTTAAGGTCTGTCCCCTAGGTTCCAACCTCACATGGTAGTGACTGCTTTCCAGGACTCTCCCAGGCTAGCCACTGCCTGCCCTCTCCCTGTAGGCCAAGGGCCAACCATTGTCCCTCCCACGCCACTACCTCCCTGAAGAACCCTGGCCTGTCCTTGCTCATGTCTCTCTTCACCCACAGTGGGCAGAACTGAGATCTGTCATTTGAATCAAGGGAGCAGGATTAAGGATGGTCACAATGAGAATGCTTGGTGAAGACCACTCATGGGACTGACCATACCGCTACACATGGGAAATTCTGGAACCTGGTCTGTCCGGAGTAGCATGAACCATGGTGAGGGTACCCACTTCCACCAGGGCTGTTGGAAGTTGATTACTATCCTAATTCAGCACTAACTCTCCCTGGAGCAAAGCAAACAAGCTGTTTCTTCTCCTTTCTAAGGATATACGCAGACCTTAACAAGCACTTGGGGCTTGGTCCCACGGGCTCTCTAGCATCTTCTCATTTATCCCTTGTATGTGCAAGTAAAAAGTACTTGCTAGGTAGGACATGAGGGTGCAGGCCTGTAATCCCGATATTCAGAAGCTGAGGCGGGAAGGAGAGTTCAAGTCCAGCTTGGGCCACATGACCTAAAGTGACTCAAACAAACAAAACAAAACAAACAAAAAAACCAAAACCAACAAAATATAAAACAACAAATCAATAACCGTAACTTGGGAGGAAACCAGAAGGCCAAAGTCTGTGGCAACTAACTAGGCAGTCTGAGGTCAGCTTGGGCTACATGCAGGTGGGTGTAGGGGCAAAATCAAAAATTACAGCGACAACAAAAGAAGACCTGCAACTAGGGAGTTGTGGCCCAATGTGGTACCTGGTGACCACCAGAGCCTTTGACATCCCACTCAGGGCTAAAATTAATCCTGGGGACAGGACCTCAGGCAAGGCAGCTCCAGCATTTTAGTTATTTGAGAAAGGAGCACCCCGGCTAAAAGCAGGTCCCCTCCTGCCCAGTACAGTGGTCTTCTGATACCCAGTTCTGCGTGGGCACGCCCACGCGGACACATTGCAGCAGAGCCCCGCCACCGCGACCCCATGTGGACACTCGCACAGACTCCCACTCCGCGTGCACCGCCCACGACCCCACCCTACCTCCCGCTGCATTCGCCGCGCCCCGTGTCCCGCGTGTCCAGGCCCCTGTCCGCGACCGGAAGCGCCCGACCGGCCCGCGGAGGGCCACCACCATAGCCGCCATGGTCTGGGGACCTCAGGCGGCCGGGGCTGCCCTTGGCGCTGCCTGAGCCGTTCACGCCTCCCGGTCAGACTCGTGCGCGGCCTTGGCGAGGTGAGTACTGCGGCCGGGGCGCCTGCACCTCGCGGAGCTCAGACCCGGGGATCGGATTCTGCACCCGCCGAACTGAGACTGGCCGAAGGGCGCTGACCTTGGGCGATATAGTTCTGGATATTGGGTTCTGAGACCTGGGTCCTGGGTCTAACCTAGGGGAACGTGGGCCGAGGCTGGCAATGTGGGCTCTTGGGAAAGGGTCTTATCCTGGCTGGGGGTCGCTGAAGCGAGGCGGGTCTCCACACTTCTCGCGGGGAGCTTAAGATCAGTGCTGGGGTGGGAGATATGCCGGGTGGGCCTATCCCTGGAGTTGGGCTTCACTTGGACAGGATATGGCACATCCAGGGCCTGGCCCATCATGAGCCGGGCTCACTTAGTTCTTGGATCGGGATCAGAACCTTAGGGTCAGAGGTACCGGGCCCGG